GTACATTACCTAGAATTCAGGTGGCAGAGATAGGCAGATATCTTCGAGTTAGAGGCCACCCTAGTCTACACAGCAAGTTCCAGGGTAACCAGGATTACATAGAGACCCTGTCTCAAACAACAACAAAAGATGAACTTAAAGTGGCATGTGTGGCTGAAGAGATGGCTAAGTGGTTAAGAACACTTCCCAAGGACCCAGGTTCTATTCTCAGCATCCACGTGGTGGCTTGCAACACCTGTAATTCCAGTTCCAGATCTGACACCTTCTGGCTTCCTTCAGTATCCTTCACATGGTGTACAAACAAAATACCCATACACATAAAATAATAAAAAAGGATGCTCAGGGCTGGAGAGATAGTTCAGGGGTTCAGAGCACTGGATACTCTTCCAAAGGACCTGGGTTCAATTCCCAGCATCCACAAGGTGGTTCACAACTATCTGTAACTTTAGTTTCAGGAGGCCTGACACCCTCTTTCTAGCCTCTACAGACACTGCATATACATGATACATGAACACACACACACACACACACACACACACACACACACACACATAGGCAAACTCCCATACATGTTAAATAAAATATAAAAATTAGGAGGTTCCTATGAACCGAATTGAACTCCTGGAACCCACTTGCAAAGAGGAGTGATGACCAAGGGAATCGGGATAGGGCTGGCGAGGCCCACAGGGGCAGCTGACCTAAACAAGGGGCATCACATGGACCCCAGACTGATGACTGGGGGGCCAGCATGGGACTGATCCAAACATCCTCCCACCGAACCTGGGTGACAGAGAGGAGGCCTTGGCAATCTGTGGGACCTGGGAGAGTGGAGCAGTATTTATCCTGGCATACAGAGGGACTCTGGGAGTCCATGTGGAGGGATGCTCTCTCAACCTGGACACATGGGGAAGAACCTGAGCCATTCCCGGGATGATGTGACGGACTCTGGAAATCCCTCATGGAGGCCCTTGCCCTCCCTGGGGAACGGAGGGGGGGTGGAGTGGGGGTGAGGGGTTGGGAAGATTGGGGGAGGAGGGGAGAGAGAGGGAACTGAAAGTGACATGCTTAGAAAGTTAAATAAAAATATGGAAAAAATAATAAATAATAAATAAATAAATAAAATTAGGAGGCTCAAAAGATTGCTCAACAACTAAGAGTGCTTGCTGCTCTTGCATAGCCCCCAGGTTCAGTACACAGCACCCATATAGTGATTTACAAACATCTGTAACTTCAGTTCCAGGGAATCTGATACCCACTTCTAACCTCTTTGGGTACTAGGCACAAATGTGATTTAATATACATACATACATACATACATACATACATACATACATACAGGGAAACACTTTATATACATAAAAAGTATAAAGTAATAAAATAAAAATATTAAAATAGCATCTATTGGCTGTGGGTGTGCTCCAGTGTCAGAGTGCTTGCTACTGAGTTTGGTCCCCAACACCACACACGTATACACACATATACACACAATACACAAACACACACACGTGTACACACACAGGAGTCAGTGTGCATTTCTTTCTATCTATGTGGATTTTTGAATGTAACTTCTAAATATTGTTTGGATCTAATTTCTTAGTTCACAAAGCCATTGTGCATTTCTTTTAGCCTGGATATAGAGAAAACTGCAACTTTCTTTGAACTTAGAGGACCCATGCCTTTGAAAAGGTCGTGAGAAGGACCCCATAGGATCAGTGAAGGGAGTTCCTGGAAGGAACTGAGCACCTGCAGGCTGCAGGGTAGGGGTTGGAAGGGGCTGCCTCTTCTGCTCTTGGAATCCCACACTGCCTGCTCACTAATCCCTGTTGGGACAAAAATGATTTTTCCTCTAGGGCCACTCATATGTAGTGGCATCTTGTCTCATCAGAGCCACTGTCAGTCCCTTGAAGCTCAGCTCCGAAGTGGTTTCCATAGAAAACCCTCAAATGTCCTCAGTCACCCCAAAGCATTTGCAATACTGGCGTGTCCTCACTCATCTCTGTCCCACCCTAGTTCAGCTCTCTCAGTTGTGCCCAGTGAGAAAGCCTGTGGTTAAAGAGACTTGGTCTCACCTTCCACAATCCACCATGTTGTATTCACCAAATGCCCACCCTTGTGACAGTGGTACAGAGGCTGTCCTATCCCCCCTGCATTATGTGGTTTGGCAGCACACTGGCTGGTAAGGGACAGCTCCTTCTGAGACAGCAGAGGGCGCTCCTAGAAACAACCTAATCCCTGGACAAGAAGGAAACCACAGGCAACACGAGTGCTCCCAGTAAGAGAGACAAAATGCAGGTGTCCTCAAAAGCCAGACTGCTAGTCAGAGAGCAAGAAGGAAACACTGAGTTATAGCACATAGCTCCTGCAAGACAGAAGCTAAGGCAAGTGGATAACAAGTCCACGGCCAGACTGAGTTCTAGGCCCCAACGGAAGTTAGGCAGGCAGAAAGAGAAGTGATGAGCCATGGAAAGAGGAATACAAAAAGGGAGGGATGGAAGAGAGAATCCCAGAGGTCCTGGTGTACAGAAAATCCCTCTGCTGCAATCGTCCACACCAAATGAGAAGCCATCTCCCAGGCTCCATGGAGGCTGCCCAGAACAGGGCAGGGTCTCTTATATCTTGGTGGTTGCATACAAACTTTGAGAAAACCTGGCACAGAGTCCTTGGAGAGCTAATGACCCCTCAAACTTGTCCCCGACTCAGGGAGCCAAGGCACTCTGGCTCCCTCCTCTCTGTTCTCTCCCTCCCTCTAAGGCCTGGTGTGATCACTCAAGTCTCCAGTGAAAGTGCGGCAGGACAGAGCCGGGCCTGCAAACCGTGGTGGGGGCAGAGATCCATTCTCACACAAGCTCTCAGTTCTGGCTCTTTCCGTACCAACAGGGTGGTGGGGTACTGGCACTTTGCTGCCCACCACCCACAGGACGATGGAAGAAACTAAGAGACCAGAGAAACACTTGTAGACAAATAGAGTAGGAGGGGTGGTCTGAGGAAACAGCACCCCCGTGCCTCGTTTGGTGGAATCTGAAAAGGTTCTGTGGGGAAGAAGGATGTGCCTTGCTGGTGGGTACTTAGGGTCACTCTCCTTTTTGTCTGGAGAGCCATCAGCCATGGAGTGCTTCTCACCAGTTCCGCTAATCCCCAGACTACAGCACCCGGAAGGTGGAGATGCTGGGAGCTTTCCTGCTGGGCTCAGGTCATGCATAGCTGAGGTTCTCCCGGCAATTGATAATTGGGTGAGATGTTCACTGAGAGAGGGACAGTCCAAAGTACCCATGAACCAGCTCTCCTCCCTGCCTGCCTCATTCTGGGAGTCCTCCCCTCCTTCCTTCTGAGGGTGGGGGTCTAGTAGTGACTCAGACCAGGAAGGGTGGACAAAGGCCAGCCTTACCTCGACTAAGCAGCTTCACAACGGTGGTGCAGAAGAGAAAGAATGGTTCCCGCTCTAAAGTTGGGTCTCCTGATGCCATCTCCAGGTGACTCCTGGAGCCAGGGTCTATAAAACCTGATGGCATCCTCAACATCATGAACTCGATTTACTGATGGTAACCAAATATGGAATTGGGTGGGAGGAGTAATGCTACAGGGAACGGCATGACCCTGTTTCTCCAGTCTATACTAAACTTACCGAAACAACTGGCCATCTCCTGCTGAGAGGCAGCACTGCACAGGGCGCCCCACTGTCTAGAAGTGGACAGTGCCCCACTAACAAGCTCAAAACTTGCTCTGCCATGGTGGCTTTCTTCAATCCAAAATTCCCCCAAATTCCCACCGAGCTTCCTTTACAGCCTCAAGTGTTGACGACCAATCCCCCTGGTGGGAGATGTCTCCTACCTGTTATGCCTTTAGGTGCCCCAGGGAGAAGCTGGGCACATCTAAACTTGTACCTTATCCTCAAATTACAGAACTCCCTAAGGTCTTTCCCTGGGCTACAGAATTCTGCAAATGGCCTCAGTCAGGAAGAATCAACATATGTAACTTTGAAAAATTCTCTTTGCCTGTCCAATCCGCAAAATAATAGGGTTGGTTGAAGTCGTCAGCTTGTTTTTTTTGTTTTTTTTTTTCCTGAATAGGCTGCTACTGCCATGAACAGAACTAGAAGTGGTGTTTCCAGAGTCTGAGCCCAGAAACTGCAATGGGCTTCAGTGTTCTCTTCCTTGGTTGGATATGAGGGAGAGAGTAGTGGGAGCGATTTTTGTGCTTGGAGTCCCTCCTGCTACCTGCCCAGAAGGTCCCATAATGATCCCTGCTCGGGGGCGGGGTGTGGCTACAAACCGACTCCTGAGGCTAGGTAATGGACAAGAAGAGCTTCAACGCTGCCAAGAGCAAGAGACAGGATGTGACAGGACATTAAAAATAAATAAATAAATAAATAAATAAATAAATAAATAAAAGCGCTGGAGTCGGGGCTGTGTGTCTTTCTTGCCCTGAGCTCAGGGTGCCCAGAGCTGGAGACCCAGGACCTGGCACAGTGACCCTGATGGTTAAGATTCAGGAATAAACAAAACGGAGCTTGAGGACTACGCAGTGAGATTCCCAGCTGGCAGAGCGCGACCCTGGAAGGCCACTAACCCCATGCACAAGAACACCCTATGCACACCTGGGCTGATTTAACACCCCGTGCACCCCGGCGCGCATTGTACACTGGCACATACCTGCAGTTTTCCAGCACCCCGCACGCACCCCAGCACCCCGCGCGCCCCAGCACCCCTCCATGAACACCGACGCACTCTGGCAAGCTTCACACACCTTCAACACCTCAGTGCCAGGCGCGCTCTCACTCACCCTAGCACCCTGCGCACCCACGGCCGCGGGAGGGGCCAACGCCACGAGGCTCCAAACCCCCAGGGCCCCGCCCGCCCCCCGCCCGCCCCGCCCCGGCCCCAGCCCCAGCCCCGGCGGGCGCCCCCCGCGGCGCTGCCCCGCCCCCGCCGCCCCGCGCCGCCCAGGGCCTCGGCCCGCCGCCCGGCAGCCGGCCCACCTGGCGCAGCGCCGCCCTCTGAGCCCGCGTACCGGTGCACACCCGGGAACCCCGCGCACCCTGCTGCCACAGAGGGCCCCGCGCCACTGCAGCGGAGCCACTTCCAAGGGCCGGGCCAGCCCCGGCGCCCGCGCTATCGGGGCGGACTCCCCGCCTGCGCGCTCAAGCCTGCGATGGCTCCTCTCGGATACCTCTTAATGCTCTGCAGCCTGAAACAGGCGCTGGGCAGCTACCCGATCTGGTGGTAAGTGAGTCTACTTGCATTCGTCCCGGCCCCAGTGCCACCCTAGGGCAGCTGCCCCCTGGGGTAGGGTCCCCACCGTTGATCTGCGCACTGGCTGCGGACGGGTTGTTTTCCTTGGCCGCCACTTGGACCTGTTCGGGCCGCTGCTGGGACGCGGGTGGCGGAGCTTCCGGGGACATTGATTCCCCTGGCAGGCGGGGAGGGAGGGCAGTGAAGGTCCATGCTGTCCCTGGCGTCGAACAAGAATGGCAGAAAGCGGGTCAGCACATGACACTAACGCCTCGGCGGTAGTCGAGGAAAGAGTGTAAAAGGGAAGCTGCGCGAGGAAGAGGGAGAAACTTCTTAGGGACGGTATCTTACACACACACACACACACACACACACACACACACACACACACACACACACACACACTTTAAAACAAAGTCGCGAGACAAGACCGAACAGCTCGGGGCAGCGCAGTTACGTAAAGACAGTCCGAGACCGGGCGGGGAGTGGCACGGAGCCTGCGGCAAGGCGCACCGGGGCGAGCCGGGAGCCCTGCGCGCTTCCCTAACGCTGTCGCTGTCGCTTCTTCGTGGCTGTCGGGGTGTAGGGGTCAGTCTGCTGTCCACAGCCTGTGCCTTCCTGACAAGGAAACGCTGCTGCGGGGAGGGATGAGCAGTAGGTAAAGTAAGGGATTTGAGTTTTCCGGAGTGAGAGGCTTCGGGGACCTGTCCTGGAGAGGCTGGATAGCATCCTCTACTTCAGACAGGGCAGACCCTTCTCGGTTTGGGGATGGAGTGAGGTTGGGCAAAGGAAAGGTCCTCCGCACATACCCTGAGAGGAGGAGAAATTGGGGCGCCCCTTTCTCGGAGTGTGTGACAACCCTCCTCCCTGCATGGAGCTCAGCCTTAAGGCCACGATCAGATGCGCAGGTCTCTCGAACACAAGCAAGAGGAATGCGGGCGCCAAGGGGCCGGGGCGCGCCGCTGGTGGAGACTCAGTTGGACAGAAACCTCCCCACAAACATGCACGCCACCCCCCCCCCAGGAACACTCTCCGACAGCCTGCCTGGAATTATAATAATTATGCCGAGGGGAAGGGGGGGTACCCAGCGAGCCGAAGTACATCTAATCCGATAATCATTTTTCTCTTCGAGATGCTTCAGGAGAGGAGTTGAAGAGCCTGGGGTGGGGATGCAGGGCCTGCGCCGCTGCAGGGATGGAGGGTGAGCATCCGGGAGTCGGCTAGAGGCTGGAGAGGGTGCTGGGGCAGCGGACGCACTCTACAGGGATCTAGCTGAGCCTTGGCTCCCTTGACTTTTTACGACCCGGAGCAGCACCTGTGGCGCCCTGTGGCCTCCAGGAGCGCGGGCTGCGACCGGCGCATCTATGAGCGCGGACAAATTGAGGCGCGTTCCGCGGGTCTCTGGGAGCCAGGGGCAGCGCGTCCGAGAGAGCCCCGTGGGCTGCCCGCTCCTGCGCCAGGCTTCTAATTAGAACCCGCCGCCGCTGAATTCCTGGGTTCAAGAGGAAGCGCCTTCGCCCCCGCTCTACTCCCATAAAGAAAGGCCTTGTCGCCAGCCTCCTGGCTACCCTGGGATTTTTGTCCCTAAGGTCGTGGGGGGTCTCTAGTCGGGTCCACCCAGTCCAACAGAAGTATAGCTTCCTTTTCACCTGGGCTGTTAGACCCCCCTCGGGTGCACCCGGCATTCTCCAGGTGAGAGGGGAGGGGTGTGAAAAAAGTGAGGCCCTAGCCTTCCCACCCCTTCCCTCAAAGGACTGGGGCAACCCTTTGGCCTCAGAAAGCGATACGGAAGTCCACCTGGTATTCATAGGGGTGGGTGACAAGAGTCACCTCTCCGCCCACCCCCTACACCCACTTTGTTCTCTGTAGGATTCTCACACTTAACAATTCTGCTTCCTGAGAAGCCGTCCCCTACCCCCTCACTCTGGGATGCTGGCTTCCTGGGGACAAGACCGAGTTCCCCTCTGACCTCCTCTATTCCCTCTCTGCCCCGGCAGGGTGAAAAAGTGTCAGCTGGATCGGGCGTGCTGACAGAATGGAGAGGAGTCCCCTAAAAAAAAGAATAGTGACTGCGGTCACTTTATAGGACATGATAACTGACTTTTTAATAAAGGTTGCTTTGCATTTTCTCCCTACTTCAAGTGTCTCCTCCTTTCTCCTGTCTACATCTGGGTCTAGAGGAGACAAATCCCCTGAAGTGTGTGTGTGGGGGGATCATGGCCGCTGCTGGGTGGGGTACTAGTGGGCTCCACACAGAGGCAAACAGAGGACTTGAGAACCTTTGTTTTTTTAAATCCCCACTATGATTTCTTACATTTAGTCAGCCGACTTCCCTTTCTGCCCAGCCTGTGCCGTCCTCCCCTTTTCTGGTCCCCAGCTCCCTTCACCTGTGAAAGTGAAAGTGAATGGCAGAGAATCTCCTCACTTGGAGGAGCAAACCAGGAAATCTCCAATCAGGAGTAATTAGGCTTTTGAAGTTCGTGTGACTCTTAGGGGGAAGGAGGGAGAGAGGAGAGAGTTAGCTCTGCCCTGCTCCCCGTGGGACAATGAATGTTCATCACCTCCCCAGGACCTGCTCCGAGGGATGGTGTGTTCAACCCCAAGGCCAGTTCTGATACTGCAGAGAGACAGGCCCATCAAGTAAGACCCCCAAGAGTGTCTCTTCTGGGATCTCCAGGTGCTGGGGCAAAGGACAGGCGAGTAGACCAGGTCCCACAGGACCTTTCCCACCCTTCTTGCCAGCTCCTCTTCTCACGATATTAGAACTGGAAAGAGCCCAAGGGAAGGCTAAAAGAATGCGGATTCCTTCAGAGGACAGACCCCATAGACACATCTAAGATGTGCCTGTACTCCCTACCCAACCCCACCACCTCCCTCCTGCTCTCTTCTTATCATCCCTTGTCCAAGAGGTCAACCTTGTGGCTCTCCTCTTCTCCCCAGACTCTGAGCTAATCTCATGGCGGGGAACTGACTTTTTTCAAACTTTAAAATTCCTCTGTGCCCACCCCCACCCACAAGGGCCACATTGCTGCTTTCCCACCCTCAGGGGTCACTTCTTGCCCTCATTCTGAGGTCTCAGCCCACGCTTACCCCATGCCCTCCGAGCCTCCTGGACTTCCTGTTTAGGTAGCTGCTTCTCTGCTCCTTGCTCCTTTACTTGTGGGAGAGCCTGTGTCCCAGCTCCCCCTTCCCCTTTCTCCATCAGGGCTCCTCTCCTATGGGCAAGTTCCTATTGGACCATGGGCTCCTGCGTATGGAAGCCACTGTAGAGCAGGTGAGGCAGTGCCCGGCTAGCTCTCTCACGGTTCCTCAGTAACTTCTAACAGTCTCCTTTCTGGGGTTCTCCCTGGTGCCCATGGGGCTGTATGCTGTGTCCCAACGACATTTCCTTAGGACCAACTCTAGTTCCTCTTCTCAGCACACAGGTCCCTCTGGCTTCTCAGGCTTCTGCAGCCTTGCCCCCATACACTGCTGGGCTAACAGACTCCTAGGAGTCAGCTCTTAGCCCTCTTCCCATCCCCTTGTGGCCTGGTGATGGCTGTCAGCAGTCTGCCCCACAGCAGGGACAAAATCTCCTGGTGGAACACACACGGGGTGGGTGAGAGAGGAAGTTCGGGGAGGGGGCACTGTGGCCCTGGGAGTGGGTATAAGGTGGAGGGAGGGCTACAGATGAGGTGGGGGTGCGTGTAGAATCATCAGGTTACCATGGTGAGCACACACCTGTGTGGCGTAGACAAAGATGAGAGAGACCAGCTGGGCAAAGACAGGTAGACAGAGGAAGAGTCAAGCTCAATTTCTTGCCTTGTTACAGGCAGGTCTGCAGACCTTACTCCCAGACTCTCATTTCTGAGTCTTCAGCCCAGTCTAGTCCAGGAAGCCTGGCCTCTCCCTCATCTTCTTGTTACTCCCCCCTTTTCCCACCTCTGTCTCTCTGTTCTCTGTGTTTCTGTTCTCTCCATCCCCACCTCCCCTTTTCCTTCTCTTCACCTCTCTTGGTCAGTGACTAACGTAAAACTCGAAAAGCAAGAGAAAGCAAGACATTAAGCAAATCACCACTACCACTAGTATTGTAACTGCTAGGTCACTAGACTAGGTGTTGTTTCTCCAGAACTGCCAATCATCACATGTTCTTCATTAGCCACAAAAGGAATATTCAAGGCCAGCCCTTTCCAGAGCCCAGCTTGCCCAGCTCCTCCAGACCCTGGTGCTGAACCCCTCCAAATGCTGGGTCTCCAAGGCTGGGTATCTTTCTTTCACTTGGTTTCATGCCCCCCTTAAAATTATGTTTTATCTCACTTGCATAAAGCTTCCCAGACCCCTTTGTGACCAGAGCAGAGGGTGGATCAATACAGTAGCAGTTAGTATATGCTTAGGCGATGTTTAATGGCTTGATACCCCCCCACAGGGTACAGGAGACCAAATCTCTCTCTCTCTCTCTCTCTCTCTCTCTCTCTCTCTCTCTCTCTCTCTCTCTCTCTCTCTCTCTCTCTCTGTGTGTGTGTGTGTGTGTGTGTGTGTGGTGGAGGGAGAGGTTCATGATATCACAGCAGCTTAATGATAGTGCACCGACAGGTTCTCCTATGGTTGGTCTAGGAGGCATCTAACCCTGTGTGCCAGCCTGAAATCACTCATGAGCAGAGTTCTTCCCCACCTATACCCCAGGGCACAACCCTGGGGGGGGGTTCTGTATGTGCTTCTTTTCTGGGAAGCTGAAGAATTAGGCTATTTGGCTGAGAGGCTTCAGGGAGGACCATTGGATCTCTAATGGTCCTCTGGAGGAGGGGGATTCTTCTCCAGCCTGGCTCCAGGAGCTGCAGCAAAGGGTATAGCTAACTGGCAGGAGGCTGGCATGGGTTCAGGGTGTAAAAAGGCTTCCTGAAGGTTTGACCTGGTACCAATGTTTCGATTTGGGAGCTGATGAGCTGCAGAATCCAAGGCTGAGGAAGGAAGCTGGCCACTTCCCTTCACTTCCAAAGGCTGAAACTTCCAGGAGTGTGTTAACAGCACAAGGGCTACATAGCCCAGTCCTCCTGAGAGTCTACAAAGCCTTCAACTCCACCATGTGCACCTGAAGGAACTATGTCCTGTGGTAAACTGATGGACACACACTGTATTTGTAGAGAGTTCTAGAACTAAATCTCAGAGAAGCACAGGCCATGACTAGAGAGGCCTCAACCATATGGGCCACCTGTACCCAGGAGCATCCCTCTTCCTTTGGAAATAGCACACTCTGTACACCTATCATCAGGGTTGTGACACCACCCAGCAGACTCACTGGCCACACTGCCAGGATGGCTTCCTTTCTCCTTCTTGGCCTTGCTTTTTGCTCTCTTCAGCCAATCAGTTAGGTTGTGTTGAATGGACAGAGTCCTTCCTGAGAAAAACGAATGCTGCACCTGAGCATGGAGGACACAGTGACACGTTTTAATATCTCTCATACCTTCCCCTAACCCACCACATGACAACGTTCCAGCCCTGAGACCTAGGGGTACCTGGCCTTTGCCTCTGCCAAGGTCTCCCTCCAGGGCTCCTCAGGTGACACCCTGGAGGTGTCTGATACATTGGTGCTTCCACATTCCTTCAGCAGCAGAACGTGCCGCTGCCGCCCAGGGAGGCTGGCAAACACATGGCCGCCGGCGCGGGAGCCTCCCGCCTGCCAGGACTCGCTCAAAGTATGTGTCAGTAATCCTGCTGGCCCGGCGGGGCAGGACAGGCACTGGCTGGGAAGGCTTCAGGCAGGGCCCTGTGCAGTCTGGAGTGAGGACTTGGGACCCCTCCCCAGCTTGGAGTGTGCTGGAATCTGAGGGAGGGCTTCTACTTTCTGGGGATGCTGTGCATTTGTGAGAAGACAGCTGGTCCTTGAGGATCTCAGGAGCACAGTTACCCTGGGGGCAGCTTTCCATCCATCTGGTTGGTTCTTGGGCAGCTCATTCAAGAGAGGAGAGTGTGTGTTGGTTGTCCATGAGAGAGTGAGCCCCATTCCCTGGGTCTCAGGTATGAGAGTGGAAGCCTGGTGACACTACCGTGAGACCCAGCTCTCCAGAGAGAAAGGCCCAAGTAGCATGGATACTCCATCAACCACAGCACACTGGCCCAGGACCCTTACCAGCAGAGATCTCTCTACCAGCGGTCTTCCTTGTTCCCTCTGGGAGGGGCAGAGCCTTGGGAATCCCACCTGCCAGGATCCAGCTTAGTGTTTGCTGTGCCCGACTCTGTTCCAGCAGAGGACAAGAGAAGTCAGGCAAGTGAGGAATCTCCTGCACCAATACAGATGCAGGGAGAGCTGGGCAATCCCAGACAGGTGGCAGCAGGGCCACCAGTGTACAGTGCTCACCAGGGAGAGAGGCCTCAGAGGCCCTGTCCATGGGATGTGGCTCAACCCTCTAAAGTTAGAAAAGCAATGGAGACTTTGGAGTAGACAGCTTATATGTCTACTTCTCTATTTTAAAGCCACAGTTAGAATAAAGTCTGACCACCTCATTGGAGAGATAAGGAAACCGAGGCTCAGGACAGTAAAGGCATCACAGTAAGCAAGTGAATCATAAGCACTGTTGTCTGGGTCCCTCACCTATGCCTGTCCAAATGCAATAACCCTCAGCACCCATGCCAAGTTTCCTCACACAGCCCCTCGCTGTCTGCCCATAAGCTTCCATCGTAAATGGCAGTGGGTCCCTGCTTGCTCCTGGAGCCTCAGCATTAGCTAACCATGGAACCAGTGCCATGACTCAGGGATGGGAAAATTCACTTGAGACCAAATAGAAGCTGGAGACCCTTGGCTCAGGGAGGCTAGTGCTGGCCCGGGCTAGGCTGGCCTACTGCCCATCTCACAGTCCTGGACCAACCTCCTTCCTCCCCTGCATGTCACAGCCAGCGTCTCTGCTATATCCCTGGCCAGGTGCCCGGCCTTTCAATAGGAGCAAGGGAAGGAGGAGGGAGAAAAACCATTAGTGTTTGCCGGCTGCAGGCGTGGCTCACGTGGCTGCAGCCACAGGATGAAACCCTGAGTCTAGGGATGGGGCTGTATTCCAAAACGGCGTTCTGCATGCTCTGAGTGGAAGGCGATGCCTACTCCTTTCAAAACAAACTATGATTAAGTAATAATAAAAAATTAACAGCATTAATGACAGTGAAGGCG